ATGCACAAACGCTCTGCTTGGCATGCGACACGGTGACGTTTAGCGCACCCTAAGTATAATCCAACCACACAGCTGTAGGCAATCATGCTGATTAATCTGGCAAATCATCCCACAAATTAAGTAAATTAAAGACTGGAAAGATGCTGTCAGGTCCAGCTTACCAATGCTGGTAGAAGTTACTTTAAGTGCCAGAGAAACTTATTTTTCGCTACGCCAGTAAGCTTCCTCAATTGCTTCTAGTCGCATAACATATTAAACACCAAAGCAACCAACAACACCACGACTGAACTTAAACCACCCTATAGCATATTTGTCTAGTACTACGTCATTTTGATGCAGCTACTTTATTCATTCTCTGAATCAGAAGAAAAGAAGTCAGGTGGCTTGAATCCTACACCATTGTGAAAAAAAGCTCACTCCCATGAACAGCACAAACCCTGCGCAGGGAGGGAAGAGGCTGTGTGCCCAATGACCTCCCTCAGCAGAACACCCGCAATCGCCTAATAGGGCTGAACAGAAAAGGGTAGCTGGGCTTGAAGAAATTCTGTGTCTTCCAAGCCTGACATATCTCTGAGATTGCTGACTGTTTATCCACACGGTCAGTTACTAAAAATACGTCTACACTGCACAATGCCCCCTGATTCATTAGGTACCACAGAAAGTACAGACCTCTGCACAGGACAATTTATCCTACTTCTCATTAGCGGTGTTTAGTTGTTTGACTAATTTACTGCCTTTGTAAGGGATATTGCATATCGGTTATTTCACCAAACACACACTTGTACTAATGAAACCTGCAGCTGTATGCGGCCCACAAGTCTCTGGCAGAGCAAGCAATGTCAGAGCTGCAAGGAAGCGACTTCAGCGAGAGCCGAGACCATTCGGCACTCAGCAGAGAGGCACCTACACGCAAGGGCTGCTTGGGGCGCAGGTGTACACTCCTGGAAACACATACCGAGTTCTCATCTCCGTCTATTCTTGTGCCAGATGCACCACTGCCGAGTATTGCTGAGTCCACTTGTGTGTCACTCAGAGCTGTATTTCTCTTTGCAAAGTAAATTAATCCCATCCCTCTTGTGCAATGACAACCACAGTGCTTCTGACACCCGAGTCAGGTCAAGAAATCTGTGCACTACATAGAAGTTTGCAATACAGGTATTGCATGACATTTTTTTTGTCTTGAAATGGAAAGCTTCTATTTAGGAGATAAGGTCCTCTATGTCCTTCTGAGAAGCTCCTAAGAGAGACAGTGGAATGTGGGGAACTGTGGCAGGAGCAACTGCCTGTGGATATAATGCTACAGATGGTCACATAGATGACACTATGCCACTCAGTTAAAAATTATACATAGCATTAAATGAAACAGCTTTTCGTTCTGCTGTGACAGAGCAAATCATTTCCATAAAGATGGGCACACGGAAAACCTTTAATGTGAAACCTACTCCAGGATAATGCATTTTCTCACCAGATGTCTTGACTTCTTATGGCCTTTTTGGGCTCCACTCTACTTCATGACTGCCACCCTCAGCCTTCAAAGCCAGTGCTTTGCCGCGAGTGAACTGCCTACGCTGCCAAACCCCGCTGCAGCAGCACGCTGCGTGACAATGCTCAGCAAAACCACATGACAGTAGCCATGAGCAGAGGTCTGATGAGGGCGCAGCAGGAAAGGCAGGTATGGGTCACTTCCCCCATGCTCTTCTAGCCTTCGCGATGCTGCTGATAACTCCTGACAGGGGCAGCCGCAGAGGGTGACCCACCGCTGTGCGGCCACCTGAGCCAGCGTGGCATACCGAGTAGATTCTGGGCATCCGTGTCAGCCACCTTTTCATGCGGGTAGAGGCTGCACTTGGCTCTCTGGCGCTAAGAGCAGGGCAGGCCTGTTCAGAGGGCATTCAGGGGCCACACAGCACAGTTTTAACTGTATTATATTATAGTATGAGTAATAACATCTGTGGTGAAAGGAGGGCAGTTCTAAGTTCAGTATTAAGAGTTCTCCTTACTAAGCAAATGTTGTCCTTTGTTTTAAAAGAAGAAACGAGGACATATTAAAAACACCACCAAGAATGTAGCTGTCTTGCTCCTCCACAAGCAGAATCTTCTCCTCTTCCATACATGTAAAGTTATCCCTGATTTCCTTAAGAGTCCTAAAGTGCTACAAGTATTTACACACCAACAAAGACTCTTCTACATTAACAAGCAATTTCAACAACATAGGGAACCGCACAGAGGTGGCTGGCAAAGAACAAAGAACACAGATGGAGAATAACAACTAATGCATGAGAATTTTACCACATACAGAAAAAATTACAAATGTTTTTAGCAAATGCTGGAATGAAAGATTTTCCAATAAGTATGCCATTTAACAGCAAATTATTTTCTCCTGAATATGGGAAAAAAGGCAACAGCTTCGAGTTAACTGTTTTAACACTGCATGCAAAGCTAACTTGCAAATATTCACATTTGCTAACACCTAAATTAGATGTTGTAACTGTCAACGCAATTCAGTCTTTTCACTTGAATATACAGGAAAGGTCAAAAACTGTAAACTTATGGTTTTATATTCAAAAGTGAATTTGTTCCAGAACTCCTAGCCCAGCTAAGGAACCATTCAGATGTAGTTTTAAAAGCTGATGAATTTGTTTACTTTCCTGTACAGACAATCAACAATTAGAGACTAATTTTCCCATAACAAGCATTAAGACATTTCTTTCTAGACAGGACATTAACCTAAGGTCATGGTCTACCAAACAGGTACACTTATGAGGTATTTTAAGTAATGTTTCCTTTAACATTAATTCAGCAAAGCAATGCTTTTGAAAAAGTATTTTCCTTGCTCTTCGGACTTTGTTATTTGGACTCCCAAGCTTCTTACCAAGGCCCAGAGAAGCTCTTTTTTTTAGCAGGAAACTCCACGTCTGCAGGCACAGAACAGGTCCGGCCGCACTGAGAACACGGCAAGGTACAGATTTACACAGCAAGGCACAGATTTGGACCTGCAGCATCCCGCTGTGGAAAGCGGCACCCTTTCTGGTCAGCCCTGGAAGCCCGTTTCACAGCCCCAACGAACACAACTCCTGCAGACTTCAGCGAAGTCTAGAGTGCCAGCGAAGACTGGAGAGCAGATGCCATCAGGCCATGCTCTCACAGGATAAGAGCTGTTCCACACCACAAATGAAGCGTGAAGTCTTTGTAAGGTTCCGTAATCGGCATCTCTGAGCCCATCCTACAGCTGCTCATCCTGCCCTCGCACTAGCGCGGTACGAGAACTGGGGCACAGAGCAGCCAACCAGCATCCACGCTGCGAGGGTCGCCTCAGAGCAGGCTCCTCCTAAACATCTACTCAACGCAAGAGCTTGCCGTAAGTGCACCATTATCAACCCGAGTTTACTTCAAGACAGCAGACGTGGCGGACGGGCACCTTTTAGGGCGATGACGGGCACCTTTTAGGGCGATTACTGTCACCCGCAGCCCTGCGCCTTGCGTCTTCGCGCTGCCCAAGGAGCTGCGGCAGGAAGTTGCCACCACACCCAACGAAGCACGGTGAGGGAACCAGCCCGCGGCCTTACCGCCCCTTACCTGCCGCCGCCTCCCGGCGGGCCTCCCTCGG